TGCCTGAGCCCTTCGAGACTGAAGCCATTTTTATACCTTTTTTATGTTACAAAATGCACCGTGTTCTTTTCCTCCCGTCCTTTCAGGTATATATTACCGTACAGTACCTCCTTTGTAGCGTAATACCCTTTCACGGCGAAATTGAAAAACATTGAAAAAGTTCAATGCGGCAAAGGTTCCAGGCCAAGTGTCCGGCCGAGCACATGGCCGCGTTCAACTTTTGGCTCCCAACTCTCATGGTAGCACGACCAACTGGCCAACTCTCTCTATGAACGGGTTTCGCAGGCTTGTTAATGCTGCAGCTGGCGCAGTTTCTACATCTTCTGATGATGGAGGATCTACGCCACCACTTGCACCTTCTCCACTGATTATACCCACGGCCAATGGAGCAACGTCCAACGGTACACCGAATTGGCCCCCCCAGACTCCCTCTGCCTCTATGGCTACCTCTCCGCTTGGTTCGAAGAGTACGACTACTACTGCTGCATCTACTGCTGCTCTGTTCTTACAGAACGGTGGGAAGAAGCCGCATACGAGGAATGTGTCAAGTGCTAGTTCGTCTGGAGGTTCTGGTTCCGGGGGCGGGAATTCTTCCAGACATAGACCCAATTTATCAACTTCTTCTACCTCCTCAGGGACCTACAGATCACCTGTCAATACGACCAGACCACCTATGCCCTGCACCTCTGTCTATCCAGAACACGGGCACCACGACGACTAGCGGCGGACAACGCAATTCAATAACGGATTTCAACACAAAGGATAAGCTTCTTATCAGCTTATTGGCTAGTGAAGCGGTATTGGATAGTCGAAACTTTGATATCCTGAGTTCAGATGAGGTTGAGGAGTTGAAGAAGGTGCGTGTCTCAGTTATCTCATTCTTTCTTTTGCTCATTCATCCCGTTTCATTAGGAGCAAGAAGTTCTTGCTTCTCGTCTTCAAGCAGCACAGAAGAAACTAAATCTCGAGACTAAGATCCGAGACGCAGCCGTATCTCTCGCCAAAGTGAATGCCGCATCTGGCAAGAAGATCGCCAAACAAACCGACGAAAAACTCGAAGCGTCTAACCTCCGAGTTGAGAATGCTCAGAAGGAGTTCTGGCGTATCTCCGAGCGGTATCATGATATTAGCAACCGCCTCATGGAACATCGAGCTGGCGTGCTTTCTCTCAGCGTACGGAGTATGGAGAAGAAGGCAGCTTCCTCATCTGCGGGTGACTCCGGTTACAGCACGCCGTCCAATATTCCTCCTTCGAAGGTTCCTCTTAGTCCTACTATGTCCAACATCTCGTTTGCTTCAGGCTCGAATCGACCCAAGTTCGAAGGAGCACATTTCTTTGCTGGTCACGCCGATGCTCTCGTCCCTATGAACGCTTCCAACCTCGAAGCTAAGCTCAAGAGTGCAACTGAAGCTTTAGCGGAGGCGACACGGCAGCAAGCCAGTCTCGTCAAAGAGTTGAACACGTTAAAGCTCGAGAAGGAACAAGTGTCAACAAACTTGGAGTTTGATCTCCAGAGTGCCCAGGAGACTATTGATGGGCTTGAAAGTCGAATGGGAGACTTCAAGCAAGTTGAGAACGAGCTACGGGAGTTGAGACGGGAGAAGGACGACTGGGATCGAGATCGAAAAGACCTTGAGAATCGACTCCAGGGTGGGGGACAGGGACTAGAGGCTCGAGATGCTGAGCTTCGACAGGTTCGACAGCAGATGGAGCAAGAGAGGAAAGCATGGGAGAGGGAGAGAGCAGATATGGAGGATAACAAAATGGAAGATTTGGCGCGACTACAGGACGAGATGGATCGGTTGAGAGACGAAGACACCAATGCTCTACGGAAGCTGCAGGGCGAGATGGACGAGTCGATGGAGTCTATCCAGACTGCCATGCGTGCGCATAAGATCCCGCTCTACGCGTCAAGCTCGGCGTCCTCACTTGGTGGGCTTGTCAAGTCTATCACCGTACATCTTCAAGGCGTTCAATCGAAGATGTCTTCCTTTGACGACGAGAAGAGAGAGTGGGATACGTTAAAGCGAAAGATGGAGGACGATATCCGAGCGGGGTGGGATAAGCGTGAAGCGCTTTCCCGCGACGTCGAGGACGCCCGTAAGGAACGTGAAGAGGCTCGTAAGGAGGCACGAACTTTGGAACAAAAGATCAGAGTAAGCTTCTTTTCATTAGAAGCTACGCTGTTTTAATCTTTTATTTTTTCAATTCTAGGACTCTCCAGCTCTCAGCTCGAACCCACTTTCACCACCAAGTCCCCGCTTGGCGCTTTCTCCCATGCATTCGCCTTCTCTTGACATGTCATCCAGCGCAATGCTTTCTCCCGACAATCTTACTGTGCCCAGAATTCTGGCTATGATCCAGCCTGTCTGGGCAAATCTCCCTTCTGCTGAAGCACGTGCAGCCAAATTCACGCGAAGCAGCGCTCGCTCTCCCTCCACCTCCACACCACCTTCGCCCTCATCTCCAGCCATGGAGAAGCCTGTCAAATCTCTTTCCGAGCTCGACGTCCGGTCGTTGAAGTCGCTGTATGACGTCAACGGGTCAGCGAACGGACGGGGTCCCCCTTCACCCATTCCCACTGGGCCGTTGACAATTCCTGCATTCCTTGACCGGGTCCAAGCGTTGATAGCGGATGACCGGGCGCTCATTGAACGGCTTGTGAGGTTTGCGCAGGCGCATGAACTGTTGAAGAAGAATGCGGAGAGGGCACAGAAGTTAGCTACTGAGAGCCAGGTTGCGCTTGAGACGTATCAGAAACAAGTGAAGACCCTGGAGGACAGGAATATGTCTCTTGGAACAAAACAAGCCGCTGTGTACGTTGTTCACCTTCGGTCCTTTCCGCTCCATGCTGATTGAATTTTTTCTTCACAATAGACAAGACGAATTAGCTACATTACAAGAAGCTGTTGACCGGCTCAGTCAACAGAAGCGCGAAATCGAAAGTCGAGCTGCCGATCAAGCTGCAACTTTACAACAATTGACAGAAGCAAACAACGCTCTTAGCGCTAAGACATTGTCATTGGCTGCCGAAGCTGCTGATGTATCATCTATGGAGCGGTTAAAGAATACTTTGGAGGCACAGCTGCTAGAGTCGAAAAATGCTCTGGATGCTGCGCAACAAGAAATCGACGAGATGAAGGGGACGCAGGCGATGCAACGCATTCAGCTCTTGGATGAGATGAATACATTACAGTCAGATAATTCACAATTGAGAGCCCAATTGAGGGCGTTGAAGAAGTAGGTTAGGGCAGTTTACATTCGTTTTTTTCCCCTTTCTTTCTCCTTAACAACTCATTGCATCATGTGTATAACTTACCACTTCATTCTTTGCTTATTCTTTCTCCTACGTCACGTTGCATCTGGATTTCGGTAGCATTTTCAATTGTTTTATGGCTCGCTTTCTTCAACTCATTTATCCACGGCCGTCAGTGGAGGCGGCTGAATCTTTCTGCAGTTTGCCTCATTAGGAAGACCGAACGTTTGCTTCGAATGCATTGTAAGGGTGATGACTCGAAAACTTTCTTCTGTTCTATTGTGTTAAAGGCGAGATCAAGGGTCTTGGAACACACGGATTTCTGACTCTCTTTGTAGCTTATACCATCAACCCCGTTCCACCGGTCCTAGGGCTGTTATCACGAGTAAGAACACAATAAGAGCTCAGCTCTTTTCTCATCGGACGAAGTTGAAAATCCTCCTTCCATCACTGCACCCGTGTCAGCCTTATTGTCTCAGCGCCTTGGCCATCACTCTCTATTGTGTTTCTGCTATGATGCCACAAGTCCTCGTTTCTAAGAAATCTAGTAATCTTGCATTTGCCGTTCAGACCTCCGTACGTACCTGAGACATCGTGTGGAAGCGGAGATTGTATAAAAGAGATGTTGCAAGGCTCGGAGAAAAAACCAAGCTCCTCTTCCTCCTCAGCTACCAAACCCAACCTTCTCTCACTCTAAACAATCTCCTCCTCATCTCAAATGGACTCCTTCGTCAACTTCTTTTTTGGCACCACCACCACTGAGGACGTTGTTGTGAACGTTCCCGTTGACAACGAGGATGGCGGAAGCGGAACGTTAGTTTTCCTTTTTACTCTCTATTTTTTTCGACCATGATTTACTAAATTTTCTTTCATAGTTCCGGATACTGCGTTGTTGCATGATTTCAACTAAAACGCATTGAATGAGTGTGAATCGGTATGCACCCTTCCTTAACTATGCTCTTCTTCCTTTCCTCATCATCTCCTTCTAGGTCCAGCGCCTTCCGCACACAAACCAACATTTCTCGCTGGAGCATGCTTTAACCTAACCACACCTCTTCGTTCTCCCTTATCTGGGCCATGTGCTTTTTCAGCACTGGGTTTCTAGCCCGTCTTCTTCCTCCTTCGTAATAATCGAGGCGGGGGAGAAGTCGTGAACTATCATTATTACCAGAATCTTGCACGCACACTCGCATTTGTACCACATTCTTACATACATTTTTTTTGTTGTCTTATCATCAATGCATTGCCCATGTACAACGCAAAACTCTATCCTTTGCTGTGAAAATTGTCTGAACTTGCTCAAATTATAAATCAGAGGCGATCAGAAGTTTGGCTATTTCTCAAGATCTGTGACGTTCAATTGAAAGAACCACTTGTACGATGTCTTGGATTGGCACAATTAGATGATCAAAGCTGGTGGCGAAGGAGCTCCACCCTTTTGTCTTTTATGACCGTACATTTCGGAAATCTAGCATCTTTGAAGGTTCATCATGATAAGTTCCAGCTATTGTATGCCCTTTTCATCCTCGTTGTCACAATGGCTAAATACATGTGGGTTCTGCGTGACAAAGGTGACTCGAGCACCACACCAAAAAAGTGCAGTCACTCAGACACATAACAATGATTAAATGTTACTATGGGCACGGAAACTGTCTTTTAGTGGTTACGTTGTAACGAACTTACACTTTTGAAAGGTAAAGGATCAGAAGGCATGATATTGCTCTTTTCTCCGAAACGTACATCGCCCCATTTGTCTAATGGTTATGACGTCAGACTTCTACGTTATAAGTAACGTGATCTGGAGGTTGTGAGTTCGAGTCTCACATGGGGCTGATTTTTTATGCTCAAAGACAAAGGAAGATAAGTGCCTAACATCGAGTGAAGCTACGAAGGTTCTCGTGAGGCTTTTTGTTGAACCCTTTGTCACATCATCTCACACAGCTAACTTTCAATAATTACTGATAGTTTTTAAGTACACTTAACAAGACCCCAAGCTGGGCGATCTGAGGTCTCCAGATGATTAAGATATGTACAATCACCCCTCTCCTCCTCTCACCCTATACTCCCGACCACTGCAGCCACATCCTTTTCCATGAGGCTCTTGGAATCTATCTTCTCATCCTTCTCAGTCAATGACTCTGCCTCAGCGCAATCCGACTCTAAGTCAACTGAACAAGCTGCAGCAGTAGAAAAACTGCAAGAAGTCAGCGACAAGCTCGAAGGTACCATCTAAGCCGCTATTGAGAGAGGCACGAGTTCGAGATGACAAGCAATTATGCGGTTATTTGAAATAATCTAAGGAAATTTGCGAGTTCGTTCTAACATCACGTCCCCGTCTCCTCTTCCTTGCTTCATTTTTTACGGCTACGCAATGCAAACGAGAAAATTTACGCACAATCATATCGACAGACTGTAGTTATAACCTTACATGAAATCATGATGGTTTATAGCACAAGTCCCAATTCGTGCCAAATGCTGACCCCTCCAGATCGAGAGTCACTGTCTGTTGCGAAATAATCAAGCTGTTCGCCGGTCTATACAAATATCTCGTGAGGGTGTCTGGGAGCCACATGATTTTATTCATGGTGGGAAGCTGAACAATCCAGCCGTCGTCGTCAACGGTCCAGTTGAGCTAAAACGAGAATGAGCGCGATGAGAATATATATTAAAAGGGAATTAACCTGATGCAGAGACGGAGTAGAAGCCACTAAACCAGAGCCTAAGGTGTTTTCACTGGGGGAAGCGGTAGGATTGGGATTGTGGGTACAATGATTCAGTTTCTGGAATTCATTGGCCAACAAGACATCCCAAACCCTCACAGAGCGGTCAGAAGAGCCGGACACAATGTGAAAGCCATTAGAGGAGAAGGCTACAGAATAAACATAACCTGTGTGACCGTCGAACCTCTTGATTTCTTCTCCCGTCTCGACATCCCAGAGTCGTACAGATTTGTCATCAGAGCCAGACACAATATGGGTGCCGTCTAAAGAGAAGGCAACGGATCTGACCCAATCTATGTGACCGTCGAACCTCTTGATTTTCTCTCCTGTCTGGGCATCCCAGACCCGCACAGAATTGTCAGCAGAGCCTGACAAAATGCGCAAGCCATCAGAGGAGAAGGCGACAGATAGGACAGAACTTATATGACCGTCTAGTTTGTGGATCTTCTCTCCTGTCTTGGCATCCCAGATCCGCACAGAGCGGTCACCAGAGGCAGACACAACACGGGCGCCGTCGGAAGAGAACGCAACGGAATGAACATGATCTGTGTGACCCACGAGTTTGTGGATTTCCTCTCCCGTCTGGACATCCCAGACCCGTACAGATTTGTCAGCAGAGCCAGACACAACACGGGAACCATCAGGAGAGAAGGACGACAGATCTAACACAATCTATATGGCCATCGAATTGGTGGACTTGTCTCTCCCGTCTTAACATCCCAGACCCGCACAGATTTGTCATCAGATCCAGACATCACACGGGCAGCATCAGGAGAGAAGGTGACTGAAAAGACAAAACCTGTGTGACCATCGAGTCTCCTGATTTCCTCCCCCGTCCGGATATCCCAGATACGCACAGATTTGTCATCGGAGCCAGACACAATGCGAGAGCCTTCAGAAGAGAAGGCGACGGATCTGACCCAATCTGTGTGACCCTCGAGTTTGTTGATTTCCGTTCTTGTCTCGACATCCCAGACCCGTACAGATTCGTCATTTGAGCCTGACACAAGGCGCATGCCATTAGGGAGGAACACGACAGAATTAACAGAACCTGTATGACCGTCGAGTTTGTGGATTTCCTCTTCCGTCTCGACATCCCAGACCCGCACAGAGCGGTCACCAGAGGCAGACGCAACACGGGCGCCGTCAGAGGAGAACGCAACGGAATAAACATGATCTGTGTGACCCACAAGTTTGTGGATTTCCTCTCCTGTCTGGACATCCCAGACCCGTACAGATTTGTCAGCAGACCCAGACACAACACGGGCGCCATCGGAAGAGAAAGCAACGGATTTAACGGAAGCTGTGTGGCCGTCTAGTTTGTGGATTTCCTCTCCTGTTCGAACATCCCAGATCCGAACAGATTTGCCATAAGACGCAGACGCAATACGCGAGCCATCAGTGGAAAAGGTGACAGAATTGACAAGACTTGTGTGACCCACGAGTTTGTGGGTTTCCTCTCCCGTCTCGACATCCCAGACACGAATAGATTCGTCGGTGGAACTAGACACAACACGGGCACCATCGGGGGAAAAGGCGACGGATAAAACAGAACCTGTGTGACCCTCGAGTTTGTGGATTTCCTCTCCTGTCTGGACATTCCAGACCCGTACAGATTCGTCATAAGAACCGGACACGACACGAGAGCCATTAGAAGAGAAAGCTACTGAATTCACATGACTTGTGTGGCCCACGAGCTTGTGGATTTCCTCTCCCGTCCCGACATCCCAGACCCGAATAGATTCGTCGTAAGAGCCAGACACAATTTGAGCCCCATCAGAGGAGAGGGCAACGGATTCGACATAATCTGTGTGACCGTTGAGAGTCATCAGTAACTGAGTACCAATGCCAAGTATAGATAATGTTGGAAGCCTTGCGAATCGTGACCGCCATTGTTGTAACAAAGGGAAACGTGAAGCTGTGTACACCAAAGTTGACAAGTACAGGTGAGGTGTTGATTTCGAGGCACAGTTGCCTTTAAAGACGGTGGAAAAATGTGAGGCTGCAGACAAATGTTCACGTAGGTCGATGGCACCAGGACAATTCTGCGTCAATGTCAGGCTGAACTTTTGCGGTTGTGGAATAGGTACTCACTTGAACGACATACTGCTGTACAATGTTGAGGAGTGGAGTGCACAAGCTCGACTGTTGAACGAGGTTCATTACCTCAATCCAGAACAAGAGATTGTGATCTAGGAATCGCTCGATATCCTCCAGCGCATCGTGCCCAAGAGCTTTGGAAGTATGAATGGCCCAATACCGGCAAGCATATCGTAACGCTTGCGAGATATTATTCTCGATTCGAGTGGCCAAGTCGCCTATCTCGGAATCCAACTGAAACGAGGAAGGCAGCTGACATATATTGAATTTCAAACATGACCGCATGATGTGAAAACAACGACGGGCAAGGGTCGCATGTTGTAAGTGAACATCACAGGATGCATCCAAAATTTCTCCGGGAAGAGTGATGCTGGCACTCGCAGAAGAGAAGAAAAAATCGAGAAAGGAAGGCATGATACCAAGTGATATGTCCGTCAGAAATCCAGAGCACCTGCATGAAGCCTGCGAAGAAGATCTTCTACAATTTCCCGGGCATTTTCTTGGTCGTCGGCCTCACTGGACACGAGGTCGACCAACACATCCTCAGAGACACGATCTTCAGTGCAAATTATCGTGTGGAGGAGGTGTATCCGATCAGAGAGAGCTGCACCGTTCCGATGTTCGAAGGCGTCGGACTAGTATCTGGCTATACAAATCATTGACAGGGCTTGTCGTGCTACCCACTCGAAGTCCATCGACCAGCCCTTTTAGAGCGCGATATTGCTCTCGCAATCGTGGTTCCAGGCGTGGGATTGGCCACCAGGACAGCTGTAGATGCAAAAATGAAGAGTCCATCCGCTTTGGCGGCGATGCTCTTGAGCAGCTCAGGATCAGATTTTTGGAGTTTTGGAAGGCGGTATTGGAGGTATCGACAGATATCATCTTCCACTTCGTTCTTCGGGATGTCATATAGGCGACAAGTGGTCTCAGAAGAGAGCGCCTGACAGATCTCAGACAGTTCTGGGTTTGGTCGGCTGGTGATGAAAAATTTTATCCCCTTGAGATGGCCATCGTCGATGGTCTTGAGTAAACTCTTCAAGAAGGCAAACCCACCCGCAATCTCTTCGCCGTGCTCCTGAGAGACAATCTCATCAAGAGCGTCAATGATAATAATGAATGGAGGAGCAGTGAGGGAACGACGGCTAGAAGAGGCTTCCCAGGGTTGAATGAGGAGAGAGTCCATTTGTTTGGAGACTATTTCCAGCGAATCGACAATCTTGGGATCTTTCAGGAGCTCAGATGAGTAAAATTCGCATAGTCGTGCCAGTTGATATGCTATGGTCGGTATGATGTAGACCTGCTGGTTGGTGTCTGAAAACTTCCGAGAGCAGAAAAAGGTGACGACGGTTGGAAGGGCTTCATCTCCATCGAAGTTCTCCTGCGATTGTTCTGGCGAATGGTCGACTTGCCAGCGCCACCTTCGCCAACCATCCAGAAAACAGCGGGGGTGTCGGGGGATCGGTCGCAGGCCCAAGTTGTAACGCGCCGAAGAACTTGTTCGCGAGTACCAGGTGCGCACATTGCTCGATCTATACCGGCAGAAGTGGCGTCAATAATGGCAATATTATACTGTGCACTGTCGGGACCGAAGCCAATGTTCTCGAAGAATTGTCTTTTAAGCGTTTGTGAAATAAGGAAAAAGAAGACGTCTGTCAAAGTTTACCTGTTGAACTTCAGAGAGTATGGGCTTGGTAGCCCCCTGCAGCCACTGACACTCGCAGTGATCCCCTTCATCTTCGTGAGTAATTGAATTAGACACGTCCAATGAAATGAAAAGTAGAGGCATAAATTACCATAAATCGATCAATGAACCCTTTCAGCTCCCTCTCAATTCGTCCTCATGTACTCTGCATCCTGGTCTCGTTTGGCGTATGCCTTCCAGCGAGATTGGTTCTTCAGGGTCTCCAAATCGTTCAGGATAATAGCTTCTAAGTAACTGAAAATTGCATTAGTCCATGTTTTCATGATTTTAGGAGAGTGATACCTCTGAAAGGACTTCAGCTCAGCTTTCA